CGCGTGCGGTGGGCTCACCTCCGTCCAGTTCAGGCCGGGTCCCCCATGGCTTCTGCCCGGGCCAAGAGCCACCTGGTGCAGAGGGCACCCCCGCACCCCCTCAAGAGCGCGAAGTACCCAGTGCAGCGGGATTTCTTAAGCTTTGAACTGGCCCCTCCAGGCCATTCCCCAAAGGAAGGCACGTTCAGTCCTGCGGGGACTCCTGGGGTGAACGGTCCAGCCCTCCGAAGGGACCAGTGTAAGCAATTAGAGATCACGTCGGAAGCCGCCGGCCGCCGGGGAGGTGTGAGCGGATTCAGCTGGCCTCCGAGCCCTGCCTCTGGCTGGAGGCGACTGCTGAGCCTTGAATAATAATGGCTGCCAATTGCGGTCCATTTCCTAAGTGCCTGGCTGTGTGCTGGCTTCTACATCATTATCTCATTAACTGCCACAAACTCTCCCAGGGAGGTATTATTAGCCTATTTCACGGGTCTTAAACTGCTAAATGATAAAGCTAGGATTTGAACCGGGGTTTACCTCATTTCAACCCCGAAGCAGGATTTGGAAGAGCCTGATGGGGACAGCTGCGGGTGTGAAACCTTGGGATGGGCAGGGTTGGCAATGGAAGGGCGCCGGCGTGAAGCTGATGTGATTGATTACCCTTGAAATACTTCCTCAAGGCTTCCAGGGCCCCACAAAGGCCTGCCTCTTCCCCGGGCCCCTGGCCCCCCCACCTCTCTTCCATCCACCTTTCCTTGCTCCCCTCCACCCGCAAGGCTCAAGGGCCTCGTAGACTTGACTGCTGCGTTTTCCATCTGCTGGGATGGCTCTCTGAGCAGCTGCACCTCACCCAGTACCCGAGGCCCAAACCAGGCATCCTCATTTCCCCAGTCTCCCTATGCCCACTCCTTTGGAAACACCACTATCTTTACCTTGGAAATGCACCCCGAAATCAATACTTATTACCACCCTGTCCCAGCCACCACCATCTGTGCCTGGAAAACTGCAGTTGCCTCCCTAGTTATCCCCTCACTTCTTCCTTAGCCTCTTGTCACCATGTCAACGGACTGAACACCTTACAATGTGAGTCAGATCATTTCATCTCACTGCAACGTCGGCAGGGTCTGCCCTGCTCACCCCTCTGATCTCCTAGCTCCTCCCCCTCCCCTTTCCTCTGCCGCTCACCCAGCTCGCCTAGCTGCTGCCTGGCTGTGCCTGCCCGCCTAGCCCGCCACCTCAGGACATTCCCCCTTTGCTCAGTGCACCACCTCCGTCTTATTTAAATTGTCCCGTATGCCCCACCCGCTGTGCCCTGTGATCCTCTTCCTGGTTTCACTTTTTCCACGGTATGTGCTGTCTCCACACTAGCATGGAAACTCATGAGGCCAAGGCTTTTTGTCTATTTTGTGTAGCCACTGGCTTAGAGAAGGTGTAGAATAAATCTGTTGAATTAATCACTGAGGATGCTTGCTTCCATATTGCAAAAAAAGATATAAAAACAAGAGATAATTGGCTTTTTTGGGGAGTTCAATGACCACACACCCAGGTTTCAGGTTCAACACCACCACCACTCCCTCCCCCTCCCCTCCCCTCCCCCTCCGCTGTCAGGAGCCTGGAGCCTGCAGGAGGCTACCACACATGTTTCTCTCCCCCCACACCTACACCTCTCTAACGTCAATTTTAAAAAGGGGGGATAATCAGCTTTTTAAATGCACCAGCCATATGCAGAGCACTTTGTTCACACCTCTTACACACCTGTAACTTTCTGTCGGGTGTGTGTGTGTGTGTGTGTGTGTGCCGGGTCATGGTCTGGGACCCCACGAGCTGGGAGGTGGCACTGAGATGAGAGTTAGAGGCTGGTGCCCTTGGTTTCTCTAGGGCTGTTCCTCCAGCAGAAAGCCTCTGAGTGTTAGAGCTGCCCAGCAGGGGCTCCGTGACCTGCTCTTTCTAGCATGTGTGCTGCTCAGGGTGAATGACGGCTGTAGATGGGATGTTTCAGGTGTTGGGTGGGCGGCCTGGATGCAGAGGTACTCCCACAGACCAGTCCTTGGGGCCTGGGTGGGCAGGGGGTGGACAGCGGTGTGTGCCTGTGTTCTTACACATCCTCTGCCTTTTAAAATGCTGTTGCAGAACATGAGAGCTCTGCAGAAAGACCTCGAGCAATTCGCCAAGCTCCTGAAGCAGAAGAGGATCACCCTGGGGTACACCCAGGCCGATGTGGGGCTTACCCTCGGCGTTCTCTTTGGTGGGTCCCCTCAGCATGTGCTGCCCCATAGACCAAAGAGACCAGCCTCCCCTGGGAGGGGCAGTCCTGATCCTGGGCCTTTGCGACCAAGGGGACGAGGGCCGGGTTCCGGGGCAGGCTCTGCCCTTGCCCAGGACGAGGGTGCAGGGGGAGGAAGAGATTTGGGCCTGTGCTCCGTCTGGGAAGTGGGATCCTGGTGTGGGACCTTGTGAGCGTGGGAAGAGGTGGTGACACCTGGGTCTCGGGGTCATGAGGGCCTTGCCCGTTGCCTCACCTTGTTTCTCTTTCAACCCACCTCCCCAGGCAAGGTGTTCAGCCAAACGACCATCTGCCGCTTTGAGGCTCTGCAGCTCAGTTTGAAGAACATGTGTAAGCTGCGGCCCCTGCTGCAGAAGTGGGTGGAGGAAGCTGACAACAACGAGAACCTGCAGGAGGTGAGGGTGGGCGGGTGCCCCACGTCCACGGCTTCCACCCTGGCTGGCAGCTCTGCTTCTTGGGGCATAGCCCTCCGTCGGGGGAAGTGGCTGCTCAGTGCTGCTGGGCCGGGTGCAGCCGCTGGTCTAAGCCTGCCCTGGCAGGATCCTTCTTTCTCACCTTCCGGCTCTGGTGACACCTCCACCAGTGCCCCTTAGCAACTTGCTCTCGAATCAGACCTTGTGGGTTCGAAGCCTGCCCTCCCAGCTCTTTGTCACCCCTCCCCACCCGCCCAGATATGCAAAGCAGAGACCCTGCTGCAGGCCCGCAAGAGAAAGCGGACGAGTATCGAGAACCGAGTGAAGGGCAACCTGGAGAGCATGTTCCTGCAGTGCCCGAAGCCCACCCTGCAGCAGATCAGCCACATCGCCCAGCAGCTCGGGCTGGCGAAGGACGTGAGTGCCCTCCCCAGGGCGCCCTGCCCTCCTCCCCTGGCCCGAGCTCTGGTACCTGCCCTTCGACCTCTCTGGATCTGTTGGGTTCGGGCCAAATGACCCACCTGGAGTTTATGAGCAAGTCCCTCTCCCTCCCCCACCCCCAGGTGGTCCGAGTGTGGTTCTGCAACCGGCGCCAGAAGGGCAAACGATCGAGCAGTGACTATTCTCAACGAGAGGATTTTGAGGCTCCCAGGCCTCCTTTCTCAGGGGGACCAGTATCCTTTCCTGTGGCCCCAGGGCCCCACTTTGGCCCAGGCTATGCGGGCCCTCACTTCACTACGCTGTACTCCTCGGTCCAGTTCCCTGAGGGTGAGGCCTTTCCCGCTGTGCCCGTCGCCACTCTGGGCTCTCCCATGCACTCAAACTGAGCTGCCTGCCTCCCAGGCCGGGAGCGAGGGAAAGAACCCGATTGTCCCAGGGCTTTGGGATCAAGTTCCTTTCACTATAGAATTGGGAGCACAAACGGTGGGGGACAGAGTTTGGGGAGCTGGTTGGCGGGAAGGTGAAGTTCAGTGATGCTCTTGATTTTAATCCCGTCACTTTGATTTTAATAAAGAAACCCGGGACACAGTGGGTGCATACTTGTGTCTTTGGTTTATCCTCTTCCAGTTACTGAGAGGGAGGGTGACCCTGAAGCCGAAGTGCGGAACCCGCTCAGGAGTCCGTGGCAGGTGAGCTGGCCTGGAACCTACTTCTTTCGTAGAGGCCAGCCGGTTCTTAGGCGCTTGTGACCCAGGGTCCGAGGGAATTGGAGTTGAGCTTATTTCTGCCCACAGATGTGGTTACTTATAGGCCAGTGATGGCGGACCTTCTGAGCTCGGCGTGTCAGCATTTTGAAAAACCCTAACTTAACTCTGGGGCCGTGTCACATACAGAAATTTTTTGATCTTTGCAACCATAGTGAAACACTTATATTTTTGATATTTATTTTATATATTTAAATGCCATTTAACAAAGAAAAATCAACCAAAAAAATGAGTTCGCGTGTCATAGGTTCGCCATCACTGTTACAGACCATTCCCTACTAGGAGCTGGCTCCTTGCTTTCCCCATGCTACTTTGGAAGTCCTCGGTGGCATTATGCTAAGAAATCCGGTCTTTGGGGACTTATTTCCTCTGCATAGAACCCCAGCTAGAAGCTCTTCCTTGTGCTTTCTCGGTGCCAGGGTCCATGAGGTTTCCCTTCATTTTGCCTGTCCTGTCCATGAGTGACTCAGCAGACCCTCCGCGCTTTAGTTCTGGCTCTGCTGCTACCACATAGGGGTCCTTGCTCTGGAACTCTTTCCTCTGGAAGAAATAGGTTGGTAAGCCGTGGTAGGAGCGGAAAGAGGGTGGACATGTGTCAAGATAAGGCAAGGCCCCACACGTGGGCTGAGCTGACATAGGCCCAGGCAGCAGCTGCGCTAGCTGGTTTTCTGCCCTGGTAGTGCAGGCACACATTGGCACTTCACAGATGTACTTTTTCAAATCGAAGGTAAGACCCTCCACCAGTAAAAGATGACGGCTCTTTGTTGCGGTGGTCTGGAACCGAACCCGCAGTATCTGAGGTCGGCCTGCACTGGGGACGCTGGTACAAGTTCTGCCATCTGCATGAAACTGCCAAACCCCAGCTACCTAACTGTAAGGGCAGCGGATGCTTTCTTTTAAACTAGAACCCTTCATTACCTGGGTTTCTTTTTTCAGGCTCCAACGTCATCCCATATACTTGTACTTTTTCAGTGAGCAGGTTTGTATTTTTCTACCTTTTCCACTCATCTCCCCTTCCCCTAAGAATTCACGTTTTCCCAACCTTTCCAAGTCCATTCTACCAAGAATTGGAAAGCAAGGTGTACCAGACCCACAGAGGAATAACTCCCTAGCAGCAAATTAATATTTTCATTCTTTATTTGGAAACGGAAGCAAATCTCTGAAAAGCCAGGCCACAGGCTACAAACATAGTCAGCGGTAGGATTAGAGTTTGGGGGCTGTGCCCTAGGTTTTCCCAGAATGCCTTAGGTGGTACCATCCAAGTTGAGAACTCACTTGTTTGGGTCTGGGGCTTATATCTTCAGGCACAGGTGGTCTCTGTAGTTGATGATGCTCTGATCAGACACTAGTGTCCGTGACAATAAGGGTCTATGACTTGTAACGGAATTTACGGCTCACTAGCAACTTCCTGAAGGCATTATCTTTGGCAGGAAGCCATCTCTTCTGTCACCTTGGCCGAGAGGGCCTGTTCCAGACCTGGGATCCATAGCAATGGGCCCCTGCCCTGTAGTCATTCCCTCCTGGGGAGGCAAGAGAAGAGGGATTTCTTAGGACCCACTGGTGTCCCACTGTATCCATCCATGGCCAGCTCTATCCTCAGGCTCCTTGGTGGTGGGCCTTAGGTCTGGACGCCCATGTGACACCCTGGGCACCGGAAGTCAGCCTCCCTGGCAGCCTGGATACTGCAGCCAACACAGGCCACGTGGAACCAGCGGTCACATCCATCACACTGAACCCAGGCCACTGTTTCTTCTTGGGGCAGGCCGCAACAAGGGGCTGCACAGGGCTCCCCGCCCCCAACCACAGGAGGAGTCATGGGGGTGCTCACGGGGTGCTTCGGAGGATGCCCAAGTCGATTTCTGAAGAAAAACAAAAACCTGGGTCATTGAGAACCTGTAGGAGAAGCCTAGAAGTTTCCCTTGGATGAAAATAGTGGGTCCAGATAGACTCACCAGAATAGTGGTGAACCTGGTTGCTAGAGCTAACCCAAGTCTTGCCATTCAACCTGTTGTCTGCCCACTGCCCACCTCATCCCCAGCCGAGGGCCACCTCCCAACCTGAGGATCTAAAAAAGAATCGAAAGGTAGGGAAACCAGACCGTGATCTAGCCACTTACCCACTGGGTGTCAGTGGAGTCTTCTCTACACAGAGTTTCTTCCTGGGCTCTCTAAGGACTGGGGGGCTCTCAGGAGCCTCTCTCTCATCATCCAATTCTGCCAACACTCGGTGAGCTGATTTCCTTCTATTTCTTGGGGTTGGGGCAGAAGGGGTGGTCCCCTCTTTCCCATGGGGAGTGTGGGGAGGTAGGCTCGGTGGCCCACCCCCCCTCCTGGAGAAGGTGAGGGGCTGTGGCTGGAGCTTGCTGAGGCTGCCAATGGAGTTGAGGATCAGTGTGGCTTTTGGTGCAGGGGACAGGGTGCTGAGGGGGCGCTGCGGAGCCCCCTGGGGAGGCAGCATGGGCTGGAAACCAACCCCGGTTCCCTCTTCTACCCTAGACCGTGGGATGGTAATGGCAGCGAAATCTTGAGGTTTGACTCGGACTTGCTGAAACATGAAGTAGAACTCCGAGGGGCTGGTTCCTGGGGGCCTTTCAGGGCCAAAGGTCAGAAGGTCACCATCGCTTAACTCCAGCCTGTGACCCCTAGGGAGTCGGACATTGTTGACCAAAGTCCCTGTTGATGGGGCACCAGACAGATACAGGGAATGACAAAAGCAAATGACCAGTTAGGAGTGGAGAAAATGGCCCTGACTTTCTGGGGAACATGAGAAAGAGGACACCTGACATCAAATCCTCACATGCTAAGTCCCTCGGCAGGTGGCATCAGACCCTAAGCTCTTTCTGAGCTGGGAACAGGTGTGTTCCTTCTGCCTCCCACAGAACATGGGAGGGAATATTCTATTGAGGTCCAGTGTCAGACATGCTCACCCTCATCCAGCTTCCACTCAGCATAGCTCAGGCTCTGTGTTCCAATCCTGATGCCACCTCTTACCAGCTCCGTGACCCTGGACAAGGCACACCTCTTTGTGCCTCATTTTCCTTGTCTGTAAAATGGGGATGTTAATGTCCACCTACATTCCATGAATTTAAAACAGTGCCTGGCTTAATAGTAAGCACTAAATGAAGGTGCTACCATAGTTACCCCCACATGCTCCTCAAATGGACTTTATAAAGTCCTTCCATTTCACCCAAGAGGAGAACTAAGACCCAGAGACGTGAAGTGAGGCCTGAGGCTGGCTGTGACCACCTCCACGGCAGGGAGTAAGACACATGCCCATATCATGAAAACGGAGTGAGACATATCCTAACTGCCCCAAGACAGGAACAAGTGTCTCAGCAAGTCGGGAAACAGAGTCATCCGAGCTCAGGCCCCCCCAATGGCCACACAACACCCCCATGGATATTTCCCTGATGCTGCCCTAGGCTCTGGAACCATCTCCTAGCCCCTGTTTGAGCTAAATGGAGACCAATAAGAGTCAACGCGTCATGCTTCTGGTGGAAAGACAGGTCTGGACTGCCTTGTCCACCCATCCATCCAACCCAACAGGGAGGCAGGCAGGGTCCCTGTGGAATCCCTTAATCATTCCATCCCCGAACTGCTGACTGCTCACCTTGGCTGCTGTGGTCCTCCAGGCTGACCCTCCAGTCATCACCCTGGCGCTCAGCGTGCAACTCTGCATGGACTCCGGAGATGAAGCCGGGCTCCTGTTGGGGCCGCAGGGCCACATCACACAGGTCGGCCCTGCGGCCCAAACGATAGGTGCAGCCAGTTCCGCTTGGGGGGTGGAAAGTGTAGAGGTCACCGCCCCTGCCGCCCCCAATGCGCAGCAGCTGGAAGCAGGGCAGCATAGGCAGTGCCACTGCACACCAGCTCTTCCACGTCAGGGCTCCATCACCGCTCCCCCTCCTGGGCCATGCACGGGGGTCCAGGCTCACGTTCTGTCTGGTGCAAGCTTGAGTTGTGCTTTGTGCAATTTCAACTTTGAGCACAGTCCCTGAGCAAATTCAGAATGCAAGGATTCTAGGCACGCGATGCAAAATGGCTGTCAAGCAGCTCCAAAGCGGAAAAATTCGGGGCAGTGCACAACGAGCACGTCGTATGGCACCTTGGATGAACCGGATCCTCAGGCCGCAGAATTTCCCGGGTGCCTTCAATCTGTTCGAGGCAACATACCGTTAGGCAGCTTCCGGGGAACTGCAAACCGGCGCGCTCCTAATTCTGCAATGCTAACCTGTCACCGCGATGACATTGGAGAAAACAGCTTTGTCCTGTCAGACCCGCTTATCCAAATGGAGTAGCCAGCCCTCCTGCTCGCCCGCGCCTCGCTCTCCTGGCCAACCCCTCGCTCATAACTAGCTAGGTTGAAACCAGTGGGAAGTGACTCCACTGTCACCCCCAAAAAGGCAGAGAGAACGGTCCCTACGTTCTCCAAGACACTGGTCCTAAACCCCATCTGCCGGCTTCTCCGGGGGGTGGGGTGGAGGAACAGAAACAGCTCCCCGAGACGATGCGAGGCAAACCCAGCCTTCTGCCCACCCCAGCCCGGTGCCGGATCTACCGCGTGGTGCAGTCTCGGAACGGTTTCTGCAGGCAGTGCCGGCCGGCGCGGCGTCCGGGACCCTCGGGCTCCGGCCCGGCGGGCGCTCCGCAGCTGTTTGACAGCGAGGGCGCGGGCCCGGGGGGCGCGGCCTCCGCGCGCGGGCAGCGCAGACCCCGCCTTCGGAATTCCCGGGTCCGAACTTGGCGCCCGCAAGCCTGCCCCGTGCCGTTCCTGATTGGTCAGCTCCCGGGGTCACCTCCGCTCCATTGGTCAGGGTCGGACGGGTCCCTCAGGTCCCGCTTCCGCCTTTTCTGATTGGTTGACAAGTTTTCCCGGGTTCCCGGAGTTGGGAGGAGCCGCCAGGGCGCGGAGACAGCAGCGCCGGCTTCCGGCCCGGCTGTAGACACTACTGCGCCTGCGTGCACCTCGGGCGCCCCACCGGGCCCCTCTGCGCAGGCGCGGTCAGGCCGCCGGCCGGCCGGGAGCCAGGTGAAGGCTCTCGCGCCGAGTGAGGGCCTCGGGCGCGTCGGTTGGGGGAGGGAAAGGACGAGCGGGGGCTCGGGGGTGGGTTCCGGGGGTGGTCGGGGAACAGGGGACAGGGGCCGGGGAAGGAACGGACGAGGTGCAGAACAGCCTTAGCGCTCAGGGTCCAGCGGGGCGAAGGCCCGGTGTCCCGGGAGGGGCGGGGCGGAGGGCCCGCGGAGGGCGGGAGGCGGGAGCGGGAGGCGGGAGCGGGCTGAGGTGAGGGAGCCGGGCCATGCCTTCAGGAGGACAGCAGATGAGAGTGCAGGGCGGGCGGGCGACAGGGCTCCCGGATTGGGGGGAAATAGGTGGGTTTGGGTGGGAGGGTGGGAGGCCTTGAGCCTCTGCAGGGAGCAGGGGCGGCAGGTTGGCAGCGGACGGGGTCGAGGGCAGGAACGGGAGGCTGCAGGGAGCGTTTGGGAGAGATGTCTGGGAGCTGGCCTTTCCGCCCGGGGACCTAGGCTGCCTGGACCCCCGGGGTCCTGGGGAGCCGCGCTGCCCGGCATGCGGCCACATCCCTCCGGGGCCAGGCCGCGGGCCAGCGCTTTGGTCCGGAGGGACCTGGGGGCCCTGGCGTGGTGTGTGGATGGGCTTCCCCCGGGCCTTGCCGAGCCTTGGCGGGGACTCTGGAGCCCGGGCTCGCAGCCCCTGCACCGCACACCTTCCTCACCCGCGACCAGGAATGGCCGAGTCCGTAGGAACTTGAGGAGGAGGGTAAAGGCTGTGGCCATGGCTGTGCCAGGGGCAGGCTGGGTCCAGCAGGCTCTGTGGGCGTCTCCTTCCTCTTCCTGGAAGTAGGAAGAGGAGCTCGGCCTGGCTCTGGTCTGAGGACCGAGACTTTGTCGGAGGGGCTTTCCCTCTGGGGGGGGCCTGATCGCTGACTTGCAGTGCCCATGTTTCTCCTCTTGTCCAGGGGAACGTAGATGGCTGGACACAGGATCTAGAGGCTCCAAATAATGTGGAGATGTTTCGACCTTCAGGTCAGTGGGACCCGGCAGGGGACTGCCGCTGTCTCTCTCCCCCGGGAAACTGACCGTCTTTGTCCTTGTGATTCCTCAGGTTCCACGGGGCTCATCCCCCCGTCCCACTTCCAAGCGCAGCCCCTTCCAGCCATGCCGAGAATGGCTCCCACCTGGGTCTCAGACATCCCCCTGGCCCATCGAGGCGTCTCAGAGCGGCGGCCAGACTTCCAGAGGCCTCTGGGGATCGTGTGGGAGCAGGACGTTTCTGGCGATGGGCAGGAGCCGGGGTGGAGGGGCAGGTAGGGGGCACTGCCGCGCTCTCAGGCTTGCCTGCCCGTGGCCCTTCACTGAGATAGGTCCTTGCCCTAGTTCAGCCCTGAGTCCCATCATTTGTTCATTTATCCGTAGCAAGTATCGGTGCCTACAGTGCATAAATAGTACGAAGAGCATGCTAGATGCTGGGGGTGGCATAACAAACAAATAGGAGAAATCCTGATATCAAGGATTTCCTTAAAATTCCAAGGGAAGAGACATCGACCAACAGCTGATCATAATCAGGCAAGATGCCGTGTCCTGTGCTAGTGCGGACTCATTCTGGCGGATGGTGCCGTCGGAGCGGGCCATGCTGCTTGTCGACGTGCTTCTGTACAGCTTCTCATGGATGGTTCCTGCGTGTCTTTTCCCTGATAAACTGGCAGCCGTTGTGCATTGTGCTCTAGAGTGGGATTGCGGGTGGGTCTCCCTGGGCCCCACCAGCGGGCAAGGAGATGACGACAGGGAGCATCAGAGCTGCTGCCAGGACACGGGCTCTCTGTTCCTAGCTCGGCACTGGCTACGGTCGTGTGGCCGTTCACTTCGTTTCTGTAGGCTGTCGTTCCCTGCTTAAAAAGTCCTGCAGCCCGCGCCTCAGTGAGGAGCTGTGCCAAGAGCCCGTCACAGGTGCTTTCAGCAGTGGCTGCGGACCACTGGTGGCCCGTGAGGTCCGAAAGGTTGGCGACCGCTGCTTTAAGCTGCATGTGCACCAGGAGACTTCGCTAAAGGCTGGGACTGCATAGTTTATTGACGTGCTGTCCTCCCGAACCCCTCACTCAAGAACCCCTCACTCAGCGTACCTGACTCTAGACCAGCGGTTCTCAACCTGTGGGTCGCGACCCCTTTGGGGGTCGAACGACCCTTTCACAGGGGTCGCCTAAGACCATCGGAAAACACATACATAATTACATATTGTTTTTGTGATTAATCACTATGCTTTAATTATGTTCAATTTGTAACAATGAAAATACATCCTGCATATCAGATATTTACATTATGATTCATAACAGTAGCAACATTACAGTTATGAAGTAGCAACGCAAATAATTTTATGGTTGGGTCACCACAACATGAGGAATTGTGTTAAAGGGTCGCGGCATTAGGAAGGTTGAGAACCACTGCTGTAGATGCTCCCAGCCAGCACCTGGCCGTACTGATACTGGGAGCCCTTAAATCAGAATTCAGAAGTCCCTCCCTGCACTTCCAACGTCTTCAGAATGTGTGGCCCAGTGATACGCACAGTTGCTGTTAAGACATCAGCCTGTATATAGCTCTCTCTAGAGCAGCAATTTTCAACCTTTTTCATCTTGTGGCACATTACTAAAATTTTGCGACACACCAAAAAATGTTATTTTTTGCCTTTCTGACCAAAAAATAGGTATACTTTTGATTGATTTACAAAATAATAATAATTACCTACCCTTTCTGCTTCAAAGTAACTTTTTTAAAAATCAGGTGCTGCCCAACTTGCATGGCTCAGTGATTGAGCGTTGACTTATGAACCAGGAGGTCATGGTTCGATTCCCAGTCAGGGCACATGCCTGGGTTGCAGGCTTTATCCCCAGTGAGGGGCATGCAGGAGGCAGCCAATCAATGATTCTCACTATTGCTGTTCTTTCTCTCCTCCCTCTCTGAAATCAATGAAAAAATATTTTTTAAAAATTAAGTAAATAAAAAGTTAGGTGCCTATACTTGTAATTTATATAAGGATTTCTGATACCAAGAATGAACCAATCAGATGCAACCTTATTCAACATGACCAATAAGATACAACTCTATTGACCTATGTATTTATGGTCCAAGACCAAGTATTCACATCCCACAGCTATTTTGTTAGCTGGTGTCATTTTTTTTACTTGACAATCTAAGGGAAAGAGGTCAGTGCCCCTGACTAAATAGTTAGGTATTGCATGTTTTAAAAATTCTTGTGGCACACAGTTGATAATCACTGCTCTAGAGGGCGATGGGCCCAGAGACTAGACCTGATATGCTCAGTAGGGCCTTGCTGAATGGTGATGGTGATGGAAATGCAGAGATCCCTAAGGTCCAGTTTCATTCCCACATGTGAGCAGAGGGAGCTCTTCTCCTGGGGCCACCTTCGCAGCCCCAGAGACAGGTCTCACCCGTGCTACCCTGTCTTTCAAGGTCCGTGGAGCTGCAGGGGTCGCAGGCCTTGCGCCAGCAGGCAGAGCTGATCTCTCGGCAGCTGCAGGAGGTGCGACGGCTTGAGGAGGAGGTCCGGGTCCTGCAGGAAAACTCGCTACAGCAAAAGATGAAGCTGGAGACCCAGGCCATGGAGCTGGAGGCTCTGGCACGGGCCGAGAAGGCTGGCCGAGCTGAGGCCGAGGGCCTGCGTGCCGCCCTGGCTGGGGCGGAGGTCGTCCGGAAGAACCTGGAGGAGGGGAGCCAGCGGGAGCTGGAGGAGGTTCAGAGGCTGCACCAGGAGCAGGTGAATGGGGGTGGGAGGGCCTCGCCTTCACGTGGGGATCTGGCCGGGGGCTTCCCTGCAGAAAGCAGCTGCGGGAAAAGACGCCCACGAGCCGTGGAGGGATGAAGAGCGTGCCCTGGGAAGAGGGGGCCTTGGTGTTGGGCATTATTCAGATCGCTCTTGTTCCCCACCCACCACCTGAAGCCCTCCTTCCCCTCAGTAGGAAGTAGTTTGTCTTCCTACCCCACTCTGGGTACCCGTTAATCTGGGAGCTCCGGCGGGGCAGGTCCGAGGTGAACTGGGAAGGAGACTGTTCAGTTGGTGAGCATTTATCAGTGCTTACTCTTCCGCCCCTGAGACAGGAGCTGGGCCTCGGTGAACACACCAGCGAGTCCCTGCCCGCCTGGGTGCAGCTGGCGGCCTAAAGGGGGACACACATTCAACACCTGATTTAATCCTAAGTAGTTGCCTGCCATTGGGAGAAGTGCCATGAAGAAGGACAAGGGAGCCTTAAGCTGGTAGGGGAGTTAGAAAGGTCATTTTAATAAGTCAGCATGTTAAGAAATGAAACCATAATGATACCGGAAGAAAATCTGGGTGAATTCCTGGTAACCTTGAGTGGGGAAGGTCTTTACATATGAATCAAGATCCTGAGCCACTAAAGAAAAGATTGGAATGTTGACTATATAACACTACTGGTAAACTTAGGAATGGCAATAAAAGTAAAATTAAAGGACAACTGGTAGCCCTAGCTGGCTTGGCTCAGTGGGTAGAGCGTCGGCCTGTAGACTGAGGGGTCCTGGGTTCGCTTCCAGTCAAGGGCACATGCCCGGGGTTGCAAGCTCGACCAGGAGGGTGTGCAGGAGGCAGCCAGTTAATGATTCTCATCATTGATGTTTCTCTTTTTCCCCTCTCCCTTCCTCTCTGAAATCAATAAGAAAATGAAAAAAAAGAACAACTGGTAAATTAGGAACAATATTTACAGCTCATATCACAGAAAGAAGCAAATATCTCTACTATATAATGTGTGTGTAGAAATTGATACAAGGAAAACAGTAATCCAGCCAGAGATAGTGCAAAGAAAAATATAAATGCCTTTAGAGTCGCGAAAGATGCATAATGATAAGAGGTGACTTTTAAAAAAAAACA